AAGAGGAGTTTTTGCTATGACAGTCCAAAGAGCAGTGAAAAAAGAATTGTAAATGAAATCGTAAGTGAAACGTGTGAGTAACCTTGTTACTCCAGGACAGGAAGCTAGAAGGTTAGAGAGAGCGGCGATCATCTTGTTTAATTTGGAAATGATCCTGGAATATTATATATATATATATATATATATATATATATATATATATATATATATATATGGACTTTATTTAAATCCTTCATGAGCTTCTGATCCTTAGCTATGGTTAATTAATGACCATGTCATTTTCGTTTATGATCGAATTCATCACGATTCTTCTGTTAAGCTTGCCGAGTAATTATACATTCGTATTGCTCAAAGTAGGACCCAACAGTGTTATAAAATCATCGGAGAATTCCAGTAAGATATATTTAATCATTTCTAAGATACAACGTTCCAAAGCTTGTTTCTAATAAATGGACAATTTTACTGTTACATTTTTTCGACAATTTTGCTGTTACAACCGGTAGATGGATTTATATTACAAACCGTATTCTTTGTTATCCCTATATTTTTTTGGATCTTAATACGGGGTCTCCCAAAAGTCACCTAGGCGTTTAAAAACGTCATAACGTGATATGTGGCGTTATTTTTATTTATTCTTTGATCCTGTTCACATTCCACTCCGAGCTTTTGAACAGAACTCATTATCCCATTTCCTGTATAGGATAGAGTTTCCGGTTCATTTTGAAGTCTTTTATTTAGCTTTCATTTCCAGTAACTACTTGCAACGTATCGCTTTGCTTGGGGGGGGGGGATTTCATTAAAAAAAAGGCAAAAAAAAAAAAGAAAATTAACATAGGAAGATTATCACTAAAAAAATTGTAGGCTGAACAAAGAACCAACATTCCGGAATTCAATCAAACTTCTGCTTACTAGATAATTTCCTGAAATTCCGTAATTTTATAACTACCACATTCTCCTGATCTGACACCACTTGATTATTTTCTTTGAGGATACCTTAAGAGGAATACATGCATCAGTAAACCGCGGACAATTCAATAACACATGGATTAAATCTGTACAGTAATTCGAAGCTTTAGTTATTAAACACTTTTATAGAGAATGTGTAGGGTTACTCCACTTACCTTCCTAAAAAAAACCGCCAGAGGACGCTTTCGAAGACTATAAATACATTGTAATATTCTCTATCATTTTTTCGGATTATCCTTTGACACGCTATGATGTAAGCTTATCGTGTAAACGCGTTTCCCACTTGGAAACGCAAACACACACACAAACACACACACACACATGTAAGTACGCAACTTCATTTTCTCTAAGACTCCTACACACATTTTACATGCATAAACAATACACTAGTCTTTAAGTGTTTTCATGCATAATCATTGTATTGTCACATAATATACAATATCAATGTATTTGTCGTTCACAACAATGTAACTTTTTTGTCTTGTTAATAATACATTACCGTTTGTTTGTATATTTATTGGTTTTAGTTGTTTCTTTGTATTTTATTACGCGGACGCACATACCGTGTCCGCCATTTTTATTGTGAGATATACATACCAGGAGAGGCGTGTTTCCCAACTCAAACCCCAACGTAAATGCCTCCCGTAACAAAAACTCTAGAATGAACACGTCTGTGTGACGTAGAAAGTGGAAGATATTGAGGTCGTATCCTTTTTCAGAATTGAATGAGAATACATTTCCTTTGTTTAAAATTTTCATTCCTGTATAAAACTATTTTTTTAAAAAATAATAATAAAGGTGGAAATTGCCAGAGTTTTAACTCCTGCAGTACCTCCTGGGATAACCTGTACTTTGTTTTGCATTTGGACGGCATATTTTACTATTCAAATACGACTTCGGATTTCGGTGCCATATTTTCCTTTGTCAGCGAAAACATTTCCTAAAAGTTAAATTTCTGTAAGTTTGACACCTTCAGAAATTCTAGGTTTTTTATTGCTTGATTCGTTTTTTACGGTTTATCAACCTTTGTAGATTTTTAAAGCCAGAAAATGTTTTGATTTTAAGAACTTTTTTTTTTAGAGAATATTAATTTAGTGATACAAGTTTTACTAATTAACTGAAAGCTGGGGATGAGCGGTGAACTCATACCATTCTCAAAGAGTAGTTCGCTTAATTGGTATAACAAATATAATGGCAATTGGACCTCGGCACTTCGATTAACAATTTCGAGTCAATATCCATTACACCAACCGCGCATTCAAGCATATAGAATCTGATATTGGTAAATGCTCATCCATCTATGTTCTAACTAATTCTTCCACAGCCTACAAGAATCCATTCTGGAATTTTACTGGGGTTATTATTTAGTATTGATAAAGTGCGCGCAAGCATTTTCTGGATTGACGACAGATGATAGAGCCAAAGGAGGCATACTTTCCTGAGAATTTCCATTTTGGGGATTTTGTGAGAGATTGCCCAACATTATTTTCCGTTATATTTTTCCATTTTTGCACATTCATTCTTTCTTGTTCTCTTTATTTTGAATTATATTCCTTTGGGTTGGTCCAAATATTCATCCCTAATTTTGGCACTTCTTTAATAAATGGTGGCTTTTGACTTCTATATTTGCTTTTCCAATTTCCCTGTAGAACCTCTTGAGGTCCGTTTGGAATATCCTATTTTCTCGCTAGAACCTACAATGGTTTTCGTCTTGTCCTCTGTGCCTTTAATTGCAGTTTTTGTTTAAGTATGTCTTTGATTGTAGGAATTTCATTTACTCTTTTAATTCTATATTTCCGATTTGCTTTTCGGTGTGGAAACATTTGAATTTCTTGAAATCTCATCTCATCTCTAACTCTTTTTGATATCCTCAATGTCACGCTATAATTTTGCTTTCAAAGTAGGCTACTTTTGTCTATTGTTTAATCCTTCGTCTTGATATTAAGTTTTTCAAAGTTTTTCCATATATGACATTATTTACTTCTGTGGTGTTTTCTATTCTACTGGACGTTTACAAGGTTTAAAGTTGAGTTATATTTGCACAGAATATTTATTGGACTTTATCATATGAATTACTGGAAGTCAGTCACTTTCTGATATCTGAGTCTTATAGGACTTATTGCTTTTATTGGGGGGGGTTGGATTAAAAATGTATTAAGGAACAGAAAGATTTCGTTAGGAACATAGAAAAGAGTACTTAATATTTACCTAATATCATACCTAGTATAAGGCACTGATTGTTGAACAATATTCTCACAGATGAATAAGAGACTTGAAGCAACAGAAATGGGTTCTACAGAAACATACTGAGAATACTATGGACTGAAAATTGGAGCGGCGACGAAGTTCTAGATACAATGCCATCAAATAGGACTCTTATGCTTAACATTAGCAAGAGATAGTTGAAATTTGTAGGGTGCATAACAAGGAAAGAGAGCATGGAGAATTTGATACTCACAGGAGAGAATGAAGGCAAGAGAGACAAAGGAAAAAACACATCACTTAGCTGGCGAGCTTAAGTGAATGGATGAGGGCGAAATGTTTCTGAGAGATTGCAAAAAGATTTATTAAGAGCTACAAAGTAGAAGAAATTGGGGAGAGTGATAATCTCCAAAGTCCTGAAGGGACACGGCACATAGAAGAAGAAGAAGAAGAAGAAGAAGAAGAATATGCGCGTATTCATAAACATAAGAATTCACTTACGTGTTAATGCCCTTGGGAAAGGTATGAATCCCCTTCTTCTCCCCACAGCTATGGGTAAATAGAAGGACAGACTGGGTTCTATAGCCTTGGATGGCAACTAGTCTACCTCAGAAAGAACTCGCAACCTACTGCGGGAAAAAAAAATCTGCCTCGTCAGTCATGCATCGAAAGATACATGATCGCCTAAGCGTGTATCACAGGTGGCACATAACTGACAGAATTGAGGAATCAGAGAGCCGAGTTCGAATTCTAGTCGAATCTATTACATTCACTGACGTGTCATACACTTGGGAAAGGTATGAATCATCTTCTTTCCCTAGCTATGGGTAAATAGGAGAACAGATTGGGTTATATAGCCTTGGATGGCAACTGGTTTACCACAGAAAGAAATGCCAACCTACTGCGGGAAAAAATCTGCCTCGTGAGTCATGTATCGAAAGATACATGATCGCCTAATGTTGTATCACGCATGGCACATAAGTGACTTAAATTCACTTACGTGAAAGATGAATTGGGAAATTCACTTACGTAAAAGATGAATTGTTATACACTTGGGAAAGATGAATTCTTTTCTTCTCCTTCCAGCTATGAGTAAATAGCAGAACAGATTGGGTTCTATAGCCTTGGACGTCAACTGGTCTACCACAGAAAGAAAACTACTGCGGGAAAAAAAATCTGCCTCGTCAGTCATGTATCGAAAGATACATGATCGGCTAAGCGTGTATCACGCATTGGACAAAAACTGACTGAAAAACATTGAGAGGAAATATGCATAAAATAGAATTTGCCGAGTGAGAAGGTGAAAGCATACAAAAGAAAAGAAGAGAAATACACACTCAGACATATGTGTCGGACAAAGCTAGTATCAGTAAAGAACACAGAATCATGGCAAGGATTTCGTGCTCTTCTCAATTTTTACCGAGATATATTTTCCCGCGCTCATGTGTGCGCGCGCCGGTGTGCGCGTGCGTGATGAATGTGAAGTGACAGTCGTAAAGCACAGAATCAGTGTTGCATGTGGAATGGGTTTCTGACATAAGCTCCTTGACGTCGAACGGCCCACTTAACACGAAGTCGCTTTCGTCAATTTATGAATATATAACACGATTTCCACCGGCACCATTTATCGGCCTATTGTAGTGGAGTTATGGCAGTCATTAGTTCAGCGAAGGCAAGATGGCGAGAGTTGGCGGGGTTGAGAGGAAAGAGATAAGTATGAAGAGAATGGCGTTGGAAGTGTACTGTCACGTGAAAAGACAACAAAAAAAAATGTATATTCGATGAGAGATTGGGAAGTAGAGAGAAAACTTGTAGATGGAAGAATAAGGTACAAAACGGGGGGGGGGGCAGAAAAAGAAGGTGAAAGTGTCTGGAAGGGGTGGGGAAAATAGAAAGGAATTACAAGGGCGGGAGGAGGAAGAAAGATGAAAGAAAGGAATATGAAGGGAGAATGGGTCCATTAAGGAAACTGAGAGAACACAGATGGAAGGGATGAATTAAAAGAGGAAATGAGAGTTGGTAAAAGAAAGAGATGTAAGGCGAATACACAAAAGAAAGAAGCGTGAAAGAAAGAAGCATAAAGAAAGAAAGAAAGAAAGAAAGAGAGAAAGAAAGAAGTTATCAAGATGGATAGAAACAGACATCAAAGAAAGAAAGAAAGAAGGAAAGAAGGGAAAAAGAAAGAAACAAAGAACGAAATTATCAAGCAAGATAGAAAAAAACATCAAAGAAAGAAAGAAAAATGAAAAAAAGAAAGAAGGAAAGAAAGAAGGTGAAAAAGAAAGAAAGAAATTATCAGGAAAGATAGAAACAAACATCAACGAAAGAAAGAAAGAAAGAAAGAAAGAAAGAAAGAAAAAGAAAACGAGAGAAAGAAAGAAAGATGGGAAAAAGAAAGAAACAAAGAAAGAAATTATCAAAAAGGATAGAGAAAGAAAGAAAAAAAAAAAAAAAAGAAAGAAGGAAAGAAAGAAGGAAAAAAAGAAAGAAATTATCAGGAAGGATAGAAACCAACATCAAAGAAAGAAAGAAAGAAAGAAAGAAAGAAAGAAAGAAAGAAGGGAAAAAGAAAGAAACAAAGAACGAAATTATCAAACAAGATAGAAACAAACATCAAAGAAAGAAAGAAAAAAAGAAAGAAGGAAAGAAAGAAAGAAATAAGGGGAAAAAGAATACAACAAAGAAAGAAATTATCAGGAAGGATAGAAACAAACATCAAAGAAAGAAAAAGAAAGAAAGAAGGGAAAAAGAAAGAAAGAAGGAAAAAAGAAAGAAGCATGAAAGTGAGAAAGAATGGATCAGGAAGAACAGAAACAAACATCAACGAAAGAAAGAAAGAAAGAAAGAAAGAAAGAAAGAAAGAAAGAATGAACCAGTAGACAAGAAGCAAGCATCAAATAAATAAAGAAGCAAAGAAAGGATCAGGAAGGATAGAAACAAACAAAGAAATGAGCCCGAATGAAAGGAAACTAAGAACAAGAAAGAAGAATCGTATCAAAAAAGGATAGAAGGTACCAAAAAAAGAAAGAGAAAAAAATCAGGAAAGAGAGAGGTATGCATCAAAGAAAGAAAGAAACAGACAAAAAATTAAAGAAGAATGGTTGAAAGAATGAAAACATATGAAAGGAATCATGAAGTACAGAAACATGTATCGGAGAAAGAAACAAATAAAAAAACAGAGAAAGAAAAAGGAAAGAAAGGATCAAGCAAGATAGAAACAAACATAAAAAAGAAATAAACAAACAAGCAAAGCAAAGAAAGGGACGAGAAGGAAAGTATAAGGAAATGTGATATGAAAAAAGAAAGAAGCGTTAAGGAATGAATGAAAAAGAAAGGAAAGAATCAATAATGAGAAAAGAAAAAAGAAAAAAAGAAAGAATCAGGAAGGATAGAAACAAGGATGAAAGAAAGAAAGAAAGAAAGAAAGAAAGAAAGAAAGAAAGAAAGAAAGAGAGAAAACCGTAGAGAAGTAAAGAAAAAATAAAGAAAAGAATCAGGACGAGAGAGGCAAGAACCAAAGAATGTAAGAAACAAAAAAAAAAATGAAAGAAAATGAAAGGGTTAAAAAAGAAAAAAAAAGGATTGCATCAGAAATTATAAAAATATGTATCGCAGAAAGAAAGAAAAAGAGAGAAAGGAAAAAAAAAAGAAAAAAAAAAAAAAAAGAAAGAATCAGGAAGGATAGAAACAAGGATGAAAGAAAGAAAGAAAGAAAAAAGAAAGAAAGAAAGAAAGAAAGAAAAAAAAAGAAAGGAGTAGAGAAGTAAAAGAAAAAAAAAAAAAGAAAAGAAAAGGACGAGAGAGGCAAGAACCAAAAGAATGAAACAAAAAAAAAAAAAAAAAAAGAAAATGAAAGGGTTAAAAAAGAAAAAAAAAGGATTGCATCAGAAATTATAAAAATATGTATCGCAGAAAGAAAGAAAAAAGAGAGAAAGGAAAAAGAAAGAAAAGAAAAAAGAAAAAAAGAAAGAATCAGGAAGGATAGAAACAAGGATGAAAGAAAGAAAGAAAGAAAGAAAGAAAGAAAGAAAGAAAGAAAGAAAGAAAGAAAGAAAGAAAACAAACAAACAAACAAAACAAAGAAAGAAATGTCCTGGAATGTAAGTAGGCAAGAACAAGAAGGGCGTGCTGTATGAAAGAAAGCCAGCAAGAAAGAAAAAGAAAGAGGCATTAAAGAAAGAAGGAAACCGAAAGAGAAATAATGAAGAAAGAGCGAAAGAAACACCAAAGAAAGAAGGAACAAAAAAGTTAAGGAACAAAGAAAGAAAGGAACAGGAATGAAAAAAGGGGAAACCAAAGAAGAAGGATTCTATGAGAAAGGTATACATGCATTAAAGAAAGAAAGAAAGAAAGAAAGAAAGAAAGAAAGTAGAGCAAATCAAAGAATAGCAAAGCAAAAAATGAAAAAAGAAAAAACAGAAAAAAGCATTGGAGAAAGACGGCCACAAAGCAAGCCACAATTCAAGAAAGAAAGGAAGAATCAATCACACAAAGCAACAAAGAAAGAAATGATCAAGAATGAAAAAAAAAAAGGCAAAGAAGTAAGAAGGAGGGATTTTATCAGGAAGGATAGAAACATGTTTCAGAGAAAGAAAGAAAGAAATAAAAAAAAACGAAAGAAAAAAGAAACGATTACGAAGGAATACAGGAAAGCTAGAATGAAGGAAAGAAAGAAACATGAAGGAAATAAAATAAGAGAAAGATTAGGAAGAAGAAAAACGAAGAACGAAAGAAAGAAAAGAAATCGTAAGAATGTATATAAAAAAAGAAAACAAACAGAACTGAAAATGAGACATTGAGAAAGTGCGATATAAAGAACTGAGAAGAAATAAAAAAAAAAAGAGTAGAACTTTATCCCCTGTTTCCTGTTTAGGATTGGGTTTCCGGTTCCTTCTAACGTCTCCGTCTAAAACTCTGAAATTGTATTTACTATTTATTTAATTATTTATCTTCTCTCATCAGGGGAGGATAGTTTCGCCTATCGTCCGGTTCACACTCCTCCCCGGTGTTTTGAAAAGGAGGAGAGTTTTAGCCCTTCTTCTTGTTCAGGATTGGATTTCCGGTTCTTTTTAAAGTCTATTTGAACACTATTCTTCTAACGTCTCCGCCTAATCTCTGAAATGTTGTTTTCTCTTTATTTTTCGTTAATGCGAATAGATAGGTTTAATTATCATTAAGTAAGCAGGAATAAAAAAAAGAAAGAAAGAAAGAAAGAAAGAACATATCTAGAAGGGAAGGAGCAAAAGCAAGAAGAAAAGAAAGGATCGCGAATAAAGAAGCTTGAATCAAATAAAAAGGAAGAAGCGATAGTGAGCGGAATAAGCTGAAAAGAAATATAGAAAAATAAGAAAGAAAGAAAGAATGAAACTGGGACAGATAACTAGAGATGGAGAGAAGAAAGAAGAAAAGGAAAAAGAAAAACGCTGAGAAAGAAAGAAAGTGTTATAGTGGAACACACCTATTATATAATTAATAGACTCTCCCATCTATAATGAGTAGGAGTAGTAAGAGTAACAAGTCAGTCGCTCAGCGGTTCAATCTGGGTTCAGTCTGAAGTCGAACGACCGGCTGACCGGTTGAACTCTCTGCCTTAGGGCGGGGAGGAACCCGAAGGAGGCTACGCCGAAGGGCGGATTCTCTTTCGGGGAGGTAAACCGACCCTGAACCCGTTTATACGGGTTCAATGGACATATTTTTGGCCGAACCCACGGGCTCGGAGATCCCATGTTAAATCGGCCTTGTGCCAAATGATGCCCTCGTGGTTGGGGGTGACTGAATATCGCTCAGTGGGTCGGTCAGTCAGTCGATGCCGGACGACCGTTAGTCGGATACTAAAGTATCAGCTACCACAACTAGATTTCTCTGCGTCATTAACTATTATTTTGTACGTCGAACCTATTTTAGGACAGAATTAGTACAAATACAAGCCTCCACTGTGAAACCACTCCATAACAGAAAGAAAGAAAGAAAGAAAGAAAGAAACTGTAAAAATGCTAAAATTAAGAAATTATACGATACATGAATATAAAAGAAAAAAAGATTAAAATAAAAACTCAAAGATGAAAAAAAAAAACAACGTAAAAACAATATTTTGGAGTGAACGGAAAGGAATAATACAGAGGTCAGGAAAGATGACAAACTGGGGTAAGAAAGGAAAACGGAAAAGAAACACTGTGAATGAACTGAAGAAGAAATTACATCCATCATAAAAGAAAGAAAAAACATGGCGTCTAAAGAGAAGAGCATAAAATAACTCAGCGAAGGAGGTAGAATAAGAATGAAAGACCTAGTAAAAATAGGTGTATAATAGGATTGCACATATGAATGAAAAAATACAAAAAAAATGAAGGGTAAGAAAGAGAAAATGAAGAAAGTATAAAGCTTCAAATTTAAAGAAAAGAGACAAAAAATGAAGGCAAATATGACAAGAAAGAAATTATCGATGTCAGAGGAAAACGGACAGAGGAAGACATAAGCATATGTTAACGATCTTATTTTATCTATTATTCTTGAATAGAACGCTTTTGCAAAAATGGCGGGAACCTACAATAACAATGGCTGCTTATTTGCGAGCGACGTCATTTTATATTATATTCTAAACTGTTATAGCTACAAGTGTTTTGTTTACTTTTCGCAAATTATCTTTTTTTTTTTAGTCAGGGTTTATTTTATTTTAGATTTTAAATATTTTCCTTTTTTTTTACAACCCATTTCACCATTAATATTTTTCACGTGGGAAGGAAATACAGTAAAAGGAAGGGGAAGTTAAACGTTTCAAGTCTATAATTCACTTTTCTTGCATAAGTTTTTTCTCTACTTTTATGGTGGTTAATTTTTAGGAACTCGAGAGTAAACGACGAATTTAAATCCTGTTTTGCCTCTTATTTAGAGCTCTTGTTGTGGTATTTTGTTATAGGCATTGGAATTTCGAGAAGGGCGACTAGAAGAGAAGGTGGTATAA